CACTAACACTAACACTAACACTAACACTAACACTAACACTAACACTAACACTAACAAACACTAACACTAACACTAACACTAACACTAACATTAACACTAACACTAATACTAAAGCAGAATAGAAGAGAAAACACTGGGAAAAAAATCACAAAATACAAAGACTTGCAAACAGAAATAGAACGACAATGACAAAGAAAGAAAGGGTGGTACCCATAGTAATTGGCGTCTTGGGTGCAATCCCAAAACAACTGGAGCACCACTTGAACACCCTTGGCATTGACAAAATCTCATCGGTCAATTGCAAAAGGCAGCTTTACTTGGAACAGTTTATATCCGGCAACAATATCTTTAACCAAGAGATAACAACATTTGCCTATTCCAAATCCTTGGGAAAGACTTGATAGGTGCAACAAAATAACAAAAGCCAATAGCGCTTAGATTTATATACTACTTTACAGTGCTTTACAGCCCTCTCTAAGCGGTTTATTGAGTCAGCCTATTGCCCCCAACCATCTGGGTCCTCATTTTACTGACTCCAGAAGGATGGAAGGCTGAGTCAACCTTGAACTGGCCAGGAACGAACCGCTGGCAGTTGGCAGAATTAACCTGCAATACTGCATTCTAACCACCGTGTCACCATGCCAAATCCAATTTAAACATCTGGCTGACTGTGCAAAGAACCATAATATAATAATAGCAAACATTCAAGGAGGAACCTGCAAGATAAACTGGGAAGAAAGATGCCCAGAGAAGGGATGTTTTCCGGACACAAAGCATTTCAGATGGGATATAAAATTCCTGACACAGATTCTACTTATTTCTGATTCTTCGTATGTACACAGATGTATAACACGCTTACAGTACAGTTTGCCTCTATCTATTCTCTCCCAAGAATAGCCATGAGGATCAAATTGCACCCTCCCAATTACATGCCAAATGCTTGAGCAATTTGAGCGTGATAATCAGTTCCTTGTGGGAGGGGGCACACGACAGCGGATCCTGGGCTTAAATGAAGAATTGTGTTGAAATATACACACTGTGATTCATTAGTCCAGGATTGAAAATTTGCAGCTTGAATTTTTAGGGAAGGAGGAAAGGAGGGAATACAGGTATTACAACAGTTCATTTAGTGACTATTGCAAAGTACAATGGCTCTGAAAAAGATGACATGACCATTTTTCACACTTAGGATGGTTGCATCCTTAGGGTCACATGATCAAAATTCAGATGCTTTGCAACTGGTTCCCCTGTATGATGGCTGCAGTGTCCCAGGATCATGTGAATCTGCTGTTACGATCAAAGTCAATGAGGACTCCAGGTTGACTTAAGAACCGTGTTACTAACTTAACAGATGCAGTGATTCACTTAACAACTGTGGCAAGAAAGACTATAAAAAGGGGCAAACTCACTTAACAAATTTTCACTTGGCAACATCAATTTTGGGCTCGATTGTGGTCGTAACTTGAGGGCTACCTGTATTTTTGTAGGGATGAGAGTGGATACATATAGAGGGGTACTCTTGTGTGTTTATCTGAGAACAATATTCACTTATAGTCTCTGGACTAATTGTCATGACTTTCTCCCCATTAAAGCTTCTAGAGACATTGCTACACATCAGGGATGGCAACCCTTTTTCTTAAATTCTTTTTTTAAAATTTACTTTCTGTAAGCCGCCCGGAGTTCTTCGGGATTGGGCGGCCTATAAATCTATTAAATACAAATACAAATACAAATATGTGTGCGTGTGCGGTATCTCACTCACTCGTGTGCCCACCCCATAATTTAATGCCCCCCTGCACCATGCCCCCTTGCGCATGTGTGTGTGACCCCCCCCACTGCCCTGCGCCTGCGTGCACAGCTTTCATGGAGCCTGGGGAGGGCAAAAACGGCCTCCCCCGCACCCCGGAGGCCCCTTCGGAGGCAGGAAACAGACCATTTTCTGATTTCTGGTGGGCCCTGTAGGTCCGTTTTTTGCCCTCCCCAGGCTCCA